GCTCTAATACTGTGATAAATATGCTCTAATACTGTGATAAAGGGGTTCTAATACTATGATAAAGAGGCTCTAATACTGTGATAAAGAGGCTCTAATACTGTGATAGAGACTCTAATGCTGTGATAAAGAGACTCTAATACTGTGATATAGAGGCTCTAATACTGTGATAAAGAGGCTCTAATACTGTGATAAAGAGACTCTAACACTGTGATAAAGAGACTCTAATACTGTGATAAAGAGGCTCTAACACTGTGATAAAGAGGCTCTAATACTGTGAGAAAGAGGCTCTAATACTGTGATGAAGAGGCTCTAATACTATGATGAAGAGGCTCTAATACTGTGATAAAGAGGCTCTAATACTGTGATAAAGAGACTCTAATACTGCAACCCTGTCGTTTTTCAGTCATGGCCATCGACATCAAAGTAAAACCGAACAGCTGTTTGCAACACGGCATTCGCAAAAAGTTTTTTTCATAATAGCTAAATCAATGGAAAATGTTGAAATACGGCTCCAGATTGTGGTATCAAGCGAAGAAACAGACGTCAGTCAATGGGATACATGCCTTGAGCTTTAATACTCCATGAAAACCCCGCAGGTTCCTAGATTCAAAACAAGGCAAAGCATTAAATACCAAGTATGTTCCGCACGGCTATTAATTTCCAGTTCGTTTTAATGTGTTGTTGATCTAGCTTACACTCATCAAATAGATGGAAAAGGAAAGGGTATGGTGTTAGGTAAGACAAGAAGATCAAATTTCAAAAAGAGGGAGAAGAGCGAGGAGCCAAAAAAGACTTTTTCCATTTACTGGTTTATGTACGTCAATCGCCTAATAACGCAGTTAGAATGATGAAAAGAAATTTCCAAATACTCCGTCTTCTTCTTTTCATAGAAATCAATTGAAAAAGTTTGAGGGGGGAGGGGAGGCGCGGGGCGCATTGTAGACTGAGCTGATATAGTTGTAGAATATCAGTTTTGTTTGTCGGTTCAATTTGATGGGGCTGTAATCAATGGCAGTCGAATTTAAACAAAACTGGAAACTCAGAGTTAGTGATTGACTGTATTGGTTAGCTAGCTTTATCCTATGCTTCAGGTGGTGTCAACAATGAAAACATCACTTATTCTACACTCTATTTGCTTTCTGGTTCATTTGTTCTCTTGACAATGGACTAGCAGTCATGTCAACTGCACTCCGTGCCGCACTTAGCTCTTTAATTTGTGAAGTGTTTTTCGTCACAACGCGAAATACTGAAATTACCTCTATTTCCTTGCCACCTTTCATGAGTGTTTGATTACCAACCATAACAGCTAGAGCTCGCTAAGGTTTACTCGCATTGCGTAAACATTCGTAAAGTCAAACATAGGAAAAAGTCCGATGACGTAACGTAAAGGAAGACAACACCAGCACGTTCGGGTTACATCTTTGTCGTTTTCTCCACTAATACCATGCAGCTTTTGTTCGGTGGAATCCATCGTGGATATCCCCTTTTGATACAAACGTATCTTCCTCTTTGTCCCCTAGTCTCTCTCTAGAGAAAAGGGATCAGTTTGAAAACCTGTCATTCACAAAGGCTACAGCGTGACTCGAAAGGGTGGAACCAGCACAATTTTATTCAATTTTAGGTCACATTTTCAAGTAACGTTTGTTGGATATGAGAGCGGTAAGGCCAATTTGACTGAACTGGTAACATCTAAAATCCATCGTGAACTAACTCAAAATCTATCGTCAACTTTGTTTGAGACTACAACAATCTAGATTCTTTGAGATGGAGATTCACTGCCACTGAGATAAGCTTTTTAGCCACAAT